TAATAATAATAATAATAATAATAATAATAATAATAATAATAAGCAATTCACATATGTTCTTTGTTCTTCCAGATCCATGACCAACATGCTGATCCTGAACTTGGCCTTGGCGGACTCGCTCATCATGCTGTTCGGCCTACCAGAGATCGTCATGTTCATGATGAACGACGGCTGGCGTCTGGGCCAGATCGCCTGCTCGGTGGATCGGACAGTGCTCGTCTGCGCCCTCTACTCCTCTGTGCTCACTCTCGTGGCTGTCTGCATAGAGAGGTTGGTTTTCTTTTTTTAGTTGAGAGAATACTTTACGAAGGGGTGTTGTTTCAACACGTGAAACATGTATCTATTAATGTCCTGTCTTGTTGTGCGTATGCGTGAGGGTACCTAACACTTCTAACGTCCACTCCCATTGTAAACGACCAGGACAGATTTCTCCCTATGAGATGAACGAAGATTGTCACTGTCATTAACTCTTAAAGTTCGATCAAGAGCAGAACAAAAGACGAACAGGCGAAAACCGCTTCCTTTGATTACGTCGCATCCGTGCAACGAGTGCAATTTGTGCTAGTTTGCGCGGGGTCTAACGGATACTTTGGTTTCGTTTTATTTGTTTTAGCCGTTTTTGGGATGCTTATCATACAAGGCCTACCTTAAGTGGGCATTAAACTGGAAGCCTAGCTGTACAGCAGGCAATGAAAGACGGGTGACTATTTACAACTTTTCTGTACCTTACAAAACCATACTATAGAAAATACGTGTCATAGGCCATTTCAACAGCAAGGCCTACGTTGTGGGTTCTGTCACATCCGTTCTTTTCGCAGTCCTTCCCCTCGACACGAAAGAATCTTTTTAAAAAATGTTATACTTTTACGTCCCATCGACAAAAGTTAAAACATTTTAGGAAGAGGACTTCGGCCATACCTGTCTGGGCCAACCCGGTCGGAGAGAGATACAACGTTCAAGCAGAAAGACTGAAATACACGATAAAAAAACCAACCAATTTCCACACTCGGCAATCAAACTTAAGTCTCCAGCATGCGAAGCGAAACGCCTAACTGCTACACCGTAGGTGCCGTTGACCCGAAAGAGAGCCAATCAGATACATGTACTTTGTGGGATGCTAGTGGCGCCTCATCATGGGCAGTCTATCGCCCCGTGTCGGAGGGACATCGGAGTACATGTACTTCCGCTGCCAGAGATTAATTTGTTCTGTTTTGGATTTTATATAATGGTAAAAACAATAGAGATAATGGTAGGGATGATGTTGGTAGAGATGAAGATAATGATACTTCTGGTAATACATTTGCACTACTACTACTACTACTACTACTACTACTACTACTACTACTACTACTACTACTTCTGGATTGTATACCTGCTGCGAAGTAGTCTCTAAGTGCTTAATAACGTATTATTACTCCGAGAGACGTTATTTATTCCAAAATTTCAACAGTGCTATGTCCTCAGATCGAGAGCTTGTACTACGTCTTGAGAAGAAAGGGGGGGGGGGAGGGTGAAAATTTTAAAGCCATACAAGACCCCCGTGTATTAAGACAGGGTAAAGCACAAACAGGCAGTGCATATCCAACACACATTCTCTAACCCAAAGGCGAAGAACCAAAACTAAACTCGTACCTCATTTACATTTATTCCAATTACTTCATGTCTCCACCCTCTCCTACTTCCTTGGCATCCGTTCCGTGGTAACTAGATGAAACTCTTTCCTTTCTTCTTCACCGTTTTCTTCCTTCCGCTCCCATCCTGCAATCGGAGACATAACTTTCCCCACGCTGCCCACCCTTTGCTGGCAATACATTCACAGTTAGCAAAATCTAGGCCACTGAGATTTCCATGATGGATTTAACTGCTGAAAATGAAACTTCTGTAGGCACCCACGCAGAGAAGAGTTCCAAGGAAAACGACGTTTGACGTTTTCGCTAAATTTTCCATCTCCTCAGGCAAGATAACGTGGACTCCCCTGTCTTTGCCTCTGTCCTCTCAGAAACATAGAACGGAAAAAGAAGGAGGCACGTTATGACAGCCCAATAATTTGAGACATTTGTCAAACGCACAAGGATTTATATTGCTTCCGATGTTTCTGGAAATTTTGCTCGCGACCAATTTTCTGCAAGTATCCTTATTTCTGAAAGGCTCTTATGCGAATATAGGGTATCTAGATTATATAAGCTGGCTTAATTTGGCTAGGTTTGAATAAAACTGACTTACAGGCCTATATCGATATTTGGGACCGTTTACTGAGCGTGTTTGCGGAGATAAACATAAGCAAATACTTTGATTTGTTTGCTCATATCCACCTGAAAAAAATTCAAATTGTGATTCTAACGTCGTAAATTGGCGCACTCAGCCGTTTTCTCAGAAGTTTGTGATGCACTTTGCACGTTCCTGCATTCCCTCCCCGACCTGAAAACTAAACGATATACTTTTTTGTGTAGGTGTTTTACGTCTCCATCGACACATTTCAGACCATTTAGGAGACGTGTTTAGATTCAGCTAAAAAGACTGGGAAACTCGATAGAAATGTCTCCCACACAGGAATCGAACAGGGGTCTCCTGCATGTAATGGTGAAACGTCTAACCCCTACTGCACAGACACCGGTCGCCTGTAAAAAGTACACTAAAAGAAAAAAATAATTAGTTTGTAATGCATTAAAACCTGAGGAGACAAAACAAAGTAGCAGGTTTTACTATCTTTCTTAGGAACTGTATAATATTTACGACTGCGGGAGTGGGAGGCATGCTAATTAATCATTTATCGTACAAAGATTACTTTTCGTTCCTTGTGAACTGGAGCGACTTTTACCTTTACTTTACCAAAAGTTGAAAGTGTCTAGTTCTCAGATAGAGACTGCAGGATTGTAGAAAATGACAAACGACGTTAGACTAGACAGAATGCCAAACCAGTTTCAAGACTGGTACATAGAAGACAATGTTTGTACCTAATAACGAGCCATCTAACCTTTAAATCAACCTTCTTGGACAATACCCCAGACATAACTCTTCAAAGAAAATGTCACCTAACGACTCAAGATAACAAGTTACAACTATCTTTACACCTCTCCCAATTATTTCTCAACTACAAAGAAAACATTCGCGGTTCATTCTTAATATTTTTCTTTGTAATTATATAATGCTTTATCAGATGCAGTCATGGCCATTTCAAAGCTTCTGAACAGAAATACTTAGAAAAGACACGCAAAAACAAGACAGGAAACAAAGAAACAAGCAAAGCGAGTAGAAGCCAAAACAGACCGGGGAAAAACCCATTATTGTCACGACTCCATCAGTTTCCCCCTTCACCAACCCCAACCCCCTCAACCCTCCATTCCCTATCGGCAGTCATAATCCCTATTTCACAACACCATTGTTGCCCCTAGCAACCGCTAAAGTACCCAAGATTCGATAGTTCAAAGTTTCTTATTATTGCGAAACAGTCTTTGATTATTCCCGTAATTTCCTCCACCAATCATACGATTTCCGTCAGGATTACCAAATGCGGTTTTCAGTAGAACGTGTGTATTGTGAAAGGTCAGAAATAAGCCAAGAAATCTATAGCCAGACTGTGTAAATATATGGCTTATGGTTTGGCAGTCTTGTAGAAACAGATGTTCTTATTTGAACATGTTATTATATTAATATATGGAAGCTTTTAGTCGACCCCTTGAAAAATGTGTATGGTTAGCTTACTGTCTTTTACTTGCATACAAATCATGGCTAACAAAAAGGCAAACTGCGCTAGGGAAGGGGGTGCATCGTACCAACGATGTATGATGTTCCCTTTCGTTTATTATCTCAGCCGTCTTTGTTTCTTTCTTTTTTCTTCTGTTAAACCCCGTAATCTCCGCCCCTCGCTACCCACCCACTGTCAGCACGACAGCAGTCTCCTCGCTGCGTTCCTTGATCCCATTTTAAAATTGAAATCATTTACATTCTACACAGCTTTAGACAATGTTCATCACTAATGTCTTTTCTACCATGAGTGTGTGTGCGTGGCAGGGAAGGAGGGGCATTCTCGCAATAGACAATTAGAGCTCTGTTTTGATAGTTTTCTGTTCCTGTTTTTCATTACAAAACGACGCTATTGATGGACGAAAAGAAACGATTAGTGTCTGGCATTCAAAAACAGCTTGAGCTTCTGTTGTGATAAGAGTAAAACTTGACAAGAGACTTGACGCGCGCTCGTATGACCTTATTTTGTTAGTTACGAGCGCGGTAAAACTCTTACCAAAAGAAAAAGACTTAATGTCAAACTGTTCAAACTAATTCTTCACGCTATTAGCTTTCCATTAACGCGGGCACTAACACTATCATGCCAACAGTTATTGGCTTAATAATAATAAAGGACAGCATCTGCATAGCGCAAATTCCCGCTCAACTGCCAGCTCAATGCGCAGTACAATCTATATTAGATTACACCATATAGCAGGTTCCATATATTATTTCGAAATAGGAAATGACGTCATGAAAGATGATAGAAACAGGAACTGAAGCTATAGTACATACCCATGGCAACAGGAAGGTTAGATAACACATTATTCAATAATAATACGTCCTATATACCGAGGAGAAAGACTATTAATAAACTCAAGAGAAACCATTGTTGACAAAAACCTGAGTCCCATAGGACTGAGTTCAATTAAAAGAAAATATAATCACCTCTGAGACAACAAAACTGAAGACTAAAAAGTAAGGCCAAGACCTAAACGCACTTTTCTGAAATCTTTAATACTGCCCTGGGCAATGTTGAGCATTCCTCAGAAACTGAACATGGGAAAAAAAGTTTCGAAAACGTTTTTAATACGTGCAATTCCTGTCACTAAAGTTTGAAAAATACTGCAATTCTTCTAAACCAGGACAGAGTACGTCATTTTTACTCTACGCGAGAACTGACTCCAGTCTGTTTAAAGCATGGAACTCAAACTCAAATAACACACGAGCCACAGAAGGTAGAGTCTGGGTGAACGTGGGTCACATCAAATATTCCACAATAGGTTTCATCAGTATCAGAAACAAACTCTAAATCTTTAGTAATATTAGTTCAGAATCCGAATGGTTCTTCAGGAAAAAAAGCTTTTTTTAACCTACTCCTTGCTGCTACAACGTTGCAGGGCCTCCTTTTACATAGCTCATTTAAAATTTGGCTCGAGGAAGGGACCACTCCAATACTAAACATTGTTGTCAAGGAAGGAGTGCAAGATATCATCCTAGGGGGCCTCAACTGACCCACACGCCGCTAGTTTGAGAAGCATGGTTTA